GTGATTTAAAGACAACTGAAAGGAAAATAAATAAAAAATAGTTTGAAGAAACCAGACACTGAACCAGCAGACTGCTGACAGTTTCATTTACCAACTCAAAACATAAAATGACTACTAAATGTAAGCCACTGCTCTAGATGGGAATAGCTCCAACAGCAACAATAAAAAATGGTAAAAATGAGACACTTTAGTAGCCATAACCGAAGTACACGGAAATCCAGGCAGCTCTATAGTTTGTTTTCCTTGTGGTTCTTACCACAGACCCCCCTTGGGAACACTAAATTAAATGTATCAATCTTATATTACTCAAATATTTATATTTTAATACAATCACTCTGCATTTACTGCATTCAATCTTATCCCTTAGTGAAATTCTAAACCAATCTGTTCAAATTCCTATAGTCTCACAAATGAAACCTAGGTCTTCTGACCATTTTTCTTAGATAAAATTTCCCCGGCTTCCTTGTCAGTGAAATCTTTTCCTGTAAAACAAATGTAGGAACTAACTGATGGTCTCAAGATGCAAAAGCCCTGGGTAAAAAGACTAGAGGTCATTAATATCTCCATGGTAGTAGTAACATTCTACATTTTTATGCACTTTAAAGTTTACAAATAGTTCTAAGGACCAGATAACAGTCCTTAGTTGTTCTTTTATTTTTTTCTCCATCCGTGCTCATTTACTGCATCATTCTGATATCTCATATTTCCACAGGGCTTTTACACAATCCATAAATAGGGACAGAAAAGTGAGGAACAGAGAGAACGGGGACAAAGTTTGGACTCCCATGTTGTGACTTCCTTCATGTTCCATTAAAGGGTAAGGCTGAAATGTAGTATTTTAAGATGATTTTGTTAAAAGACATTAATAATCAACACAGCAAAAGGAAAGCTATGAAAAACTGCTCACCCTTCCAAAGGATGAATGTGATTAAGTCATAATGAAGGCTCTTTAATTTTCCTCCCCCAGATCTTTTTTGATGAGGAAAGCCTAGAATCTGATTACCTTCTTTTAAAAAGTATCTCTCCTCTATGACCTTATCAAAAAACCTACTGAGCTTGACAGCATTGGAAGAACCTGCAACTAAGCACTGTGGATTTGTGCAATCCCATTTGTCACTAAGACTCCAGTTGGCACCAAATCCCTGTTGAGAGCTTCCAATGACCAACGATACAAGTTTTGAGATGACTTCTTAAGTCATGTACTAAAATAACACTCTGACATCCACTGAGCAGCCACAGTCCATGATGAATTCCCCAGCACCTGATTTTGGCACAGAGGATAGACTGGTGATAATTTCCCAACACCTGAATCTCCTAACACCAATACCTTCACCCAATCCAGGGATGCTATCTTGCCCCTGTCTTCCC